GGTTCCAGGAAGTGCTATTGCTTGTGCTATTTTCTGGGATTCCTGCAACCATCTTCCTCCTTTCATGTGTTTAGACTTCCTCTCTTTAACAGAGCAGATGGCACTGGGGCAAATCCCAGAGTGTACAGTACGTTCTGCCTTCATGGCAGGAGCAGACACAGCATAGCAAAGCATTTTCCTGTGTGGGATGGAGCAATCACTGCCTTCCATGCACACACTTGATCAGTCCCTTCCTTATAATTCAGAGAGCAGCTCTCTCTATTCAGAGGGATATCCAGAGACATAATTACACCTCCCACCTAAAACTTCCAGTCTAAACCCATGCTAAGCAATCCCTGTGGAATTTTTTTTTTTTCTAATAGAGACTAATTTAGAAGTCACCATTACATATTCACTTCACTTCTAATGTACTCCTGGCCCTACACAAATCCCTCCTACGTGTAGGATATCCAGGCTGGATGACTCCAAATCATAGAGTGACTCCATGGCATGGAGCCAGCATCTGGCAGAATCTGAAAGACCTTGGAGTGTTGCTATTTGTCTTTTCAAGCAGAACACCATCCCTTCTCTTAATCTCTTATATGATATTATCCCTTTGTAATAATAGCCTTCAAAATTGCTCATTTGAATGTATTTCCCTCTTGTCTTATTTTCTCAGTTGTCCCCTATTCCCTCATGAATTTTGAATCTATTACACACAAAATGTACCAAAACCACAGAAATTATGCTGATGCAGCAAAAACGCATGACTGCTGGAAGTAAACAAGGCAAAAAGCCCAGTTTCATTGGTTTATAGAGAAATGAGTAGGGGAGCAGTAACATAAATATTTGAAACCTCTCGTCTCCCAGTCAGAATGCAACTCAGATGTATAAGGATTAAGCTCTAGTTGACTGCTACTTGAGATGCATTACAATAGCTACTTAAAACTGAGTAATTCCACCAAAGACAAGGTTCCCCTGTTTGAAGTTACACCCACAAATATTGAGCAGCATCAGCTCCAAGTTGCCACAACGTGAATAACACACCAATGTCCCTACACCATTAATAGCAACACTCAAGAGTTTGCTGGGTGTTTTCCAGAATATTTAAGAAGGAAGCTCAGTGTACTCTTTTTAAGGTCATTTCCTTCAATTGCTCACATGATAGTGAAGAACCAACTCAAACACACAAGGTAAACCAAGAATAGTAGAGAGAACCTAACTTTGGCCAGATGTAACTACAGATATGTATATTTAATGCAAATTTCTGCAGGGTGGCTATAAATAGGGGTGGGTAGGGCAGGCAGGATCCAGAGTGCCCACAAAATACAGTGCAGCTCTGAAAGGTGCTGGGTGAGAGAAGAGTTTGGTAAACCTCAACCAGTCACCCAACAATAACCAGAAAACAAATGTGGACTGGTTAATAACCAGACAATGAGCGTGTAGTGGCAACATGTTGTATTAGAAGTCTGCATTCCCATCACTCTACCATGCCTGTTCCAGAAGAAATGGATGCAATAACCTCTAATGGTGTCAGACCTCCTGAGCATATCACCAGAACTTTCACCAGAACTTCTTATATAGCAAAAATATGGCAGGTGATACCCTTCAGTAAAAGATGACTTTCCTGGCCCTTCATGATGACATCTACCAGGTCTTCTATGGGCCTGAGACTTGCTCATTTTCGAGTGTCATCTAACCCCAACACTCAAAGAAAATCACTGACTTCCAAGGCTGCAGGGCGTCTACTCCTTTTGTTAATTAAAAAAAAAAGAGAAAAAAGAAGAAGATGATGGATTTCACTCTCTAGTTATCAATTTCCTAGCTACTTGTACCAAGAACAAAGACACAAATCTGAAGAGGCTTTGGGTATTTTTTCTTTTGAAGTTTGGGATTTTCTAGCAGTGCTTATTCCCTTTCAGTGCCAATTAAAATGGCTCTGCTTTGTAACTGATAAAGGTGTCTTCAACACGTGTCCACAACAAGCAGCATTGTGTGCAGTTACAATTGTTCAATAGATGCCCAGTCCCAGACAGATGGTGCTTTATCTTCACCCACTTGTCAAGACAGCATAATGCATTGTCCTGTCAGGGATTAATGGAAGTGCCACTCACATTATATGCTAATTCTGGTACAAGTCTGTTAGAACTCCACAGATGCTACAGCTACTGTTTCTCACTAGTGCTTGTTGCAGTCAGTCCACACTGGAGCAGAAGCAGGACATTCAGAAACCAAGGTGAGGAGCACAATGCAAAAATCTATGCAGAACACAACCTTGTGGTCAATAGGAAGAGTCATTTAAAAAGCAAAAAGAGGATGATAAAAATAAACAAACACAGAGGAACAGTTGAAGAAAAAGTGACAACTGAATATTAAAGCAGACAAAACAAACATCAGGAACCAAGAGGGAGGTTAAAACAAAAGATCCAAAACAGAGAAAGAGCCTTTTCTCAGTAATGATCAACAACATATCACATCATCAGAAAAGCAGCACTAGAATAGTGTCTGTAATAGGGAAGAGCAGCTGTAATACAGGACAGAATGTAGGTACAGTGAAGGTACATTCCTCCACTGTTTGGATCTTTCCTTACTGTGTAGCCCAAAGCATGGTTGCCTTATAAAAAAAAACAAAACAGTGTTTAACATATTGAATAGGTACACAGTTGAGTACTGATTATTACTAAACCTATAAGTCCCAAAACTGATTCCAAGATATATACTCCAAGAACAATATGCCAGAAGACATCTGCATAAACACTGTAAAAGACAGGCAATTCAGAGATAAGTTTTCAGCTCTCTCCTGGACCTTCTTTTTTGTTTAGATAAGAGATTTGAGATTTAGGACTAATTTGAGATGCCTCCACACATGTGTCTCAGTGGACTGAGAACCTTCTAGACTCCAAAGAGCTTATGCTGCAGCACTTTTATCACATCTTCCTTTTTGAACTGTACCCATTTACCACGGTCTGTAGCTGGCATAGTGGGATGGAGGAAATCCAGGCACTGGACCCTTCTTTCTGAAAAGTCACTGGAGAATGGGAAATCTTTTGTGCTTGAGAGAAGCTCCTACATATTTATATGGATGACAAACCTAGTTAGATACTCCATGGTCACGAAATTTCTAATAACTGGCACTATCATGTCACTAATTGGTCAAGGCCTTTCACTCTGCATTTCAGAAGAGGTTGCTTGTGAGAGAAAGGGAAGAAAGGCAAGGAAAAAGAGGCTATTCAGAGATGTTGATCAAATCTGAAAAGCCAAACCATGGCAGCAGATGGTAGATGGCAAACAGGAAGGTTTTGTGAAAAACTAGAATAGTATAAAAATAGTGGAAAAAAGGAAAGCATTCTGACAGCATAAAATACTAACCTTTAAAGATACACAAGGAAATGCATATACACCGTCTGCTGCTCCATTAATAGATAAAGATGAAACAATAGAGTAAATGCAAGGGAAATTAAATAGCAAGAGCAGCCTATCACTAAAAAGTTTATGCACTGAGATGCAGCTTTGAATCCAGGTCCTGAAATAGTATATTAGACCATAATGACTTCAAATCTCTTTTGAGAGTTGGAGACATGAGGTATACTATTAACTCCTCACAAGTGTCCTGCACTGCATATTAGAAGCTGTGGCCGTGGTAAAAAGCAGATGAACTATTAAACAGGAAAACTCCATCTGGTTCACAAAATCAATGAGCTATAAATCATAAAAATATAATAGGGCACACCAGGAAATTAAACCTGTATACTTCTGCCAGTCTCATACTTTTATTTGTCACTGCATCTGCTGCTGGCAGACACTGGGAATGGATGAGATGCGCCAGATATATCTTTGGTCTTGCATGCTTATTTTTATGTCTTCTTTTACAACTTTTGTAACTGAGAAAGGACTCACCAAGGAGATGGAAGAGAGTTTATTAATGACAATATGTTTGACATCCATTATACTGGACTGAAAACCTTGGCTGGAGCCAAGGACAGTGTAGGTTGATACCTAACTTGTCACTCCACACTCCAAGTGAACATAGTTCAGTGACACACTTCCAGGCTCAGACCTCCTTACACCTCCATTTGCAACAGTCCTTACTATTCCCACCTGGACCTTTCTTGAGTAATGCTTATGGTATTGGCCAGAAAATATTCTGATTGTGTGACTGCATACAAATTGGATGCCAGAAGAAATCAGATATTTCTTTTTTGGACCAAAATATTATTCCCAGTTCAGAACCAAATACGAACTTTCTCCTCTCAGTCAGTCTCCTTTTTATCGGTCCTCATTCCTTACGCAACTCTGGCAGTGCAATTACCACTCCTTCACAATACGTCTCTGGATTTCAGTACCAATGTAGCCATATATTGATGTACTGCAGTTGGACTTAAGTTTGCCACATTATTAAGCAGCTGGTTACCACAAACTCCCTCTTTAGTCCATAGGGGACGATCAGATCCTTCAAGTCTCCCTCATAGCAAGCATATTGCCATAAACCTGCAACTCCTGCTACTCCTGCTACTCAAGCCATGAGATTTTTCCATGTACTAGAGCATAGCTGCACTAAATTCCATCCTGTCCTACTAAACTGACTTTACTGGTAACCCAAGATAATGTGTGTTCAAGTTTTTAAAACACAATGCACTCTCCTCTCAGGGACAAAGATGCTGTCCTCTGAGAGTTGTAAAGGATGTGTTTATCTTTACAGAAAACATGTATCACCCTTTAAGCCACACATCATTTTCCACAGGTGAAGCTCTACACAGTTGGATGAGTAAACCGTAAATTCGTGCAATAGTTCCATTTGATTAACCAAGATTCATTTTATAAAAAACTCAACTTCTGTCAGTCCCAATTAGTCTAACTAAATGATGAAGCACTTAATGTCTAGGGGTGAACAAAGTTTCATCAACATCAAAGTTTCATTTTTACAAAAAACACTTTTCTCCTCCACAACTGTGTTAAAAAAGAGCTTACTCCCTTTGGTCTAATTTTTAATATGCTGTTAGTATCTATAAAACAGATCTTACCTTGATCTTCTGAAGAAACCGGTGACCTGGAATAAAACAAAAAAATCCAGTCAATCTTTGGTAAAAAAAAAAGTCAAAAATAAAGTTCAGTCTCAGTATGGGGAATGGGATATGGAGTAATTTGAAGTTTTTCTTCTTTATTTCTTAGAAAAGAGGACTAAAAGACATTTGGGAAAAAAAAAAAAAAAAAAGAAAAAGACATGGAGCTGAAGAGGCCATCTAGCAGCAGATTCTGCAGGCCAGAGTGGCCATATGGAGCCATCTTCGTGAGGACTGATGCCAAGGCTGTCTGTAGATACTTGGCAGAATCTCATCTGCTACTGCCACTGCCAGGAGAAAACCTCACAACTAAGGGTGGTCAAGGAAATTACATCCTGGCAGGAGCTCACAGTCATTACAGTACCCATTTTTTTTTTTTTGCCATAAATCAGTGTAGTGGTTAGTATAAAACAGTAGTCATAATTAATAACAATTAATGCCATCTTCAAAAAAGTAACACAACAGATCAAAAAAGAAAAAAAAAAAAAAATAATTATGTCTGGACAGATGTAATTACAGAAAAAAGCAACATACCAGCAGCAACTCAAGAGTCATAGGGTACCCTAACCAGTGGATTAGGACTCTGGTAATACCCCAAGAGAAGGAAGAGTTATAAAACATGGGTGACCTCTCAGTGTCCCTGCTGATAAAGAGAAGAACCCCAGTGAATTACAGGGATTTGTGTCACAGTTCCCATCACTAAGGATCACACTCCTCATGGTTTTGGTCACCACCCAGAACAAAGGAACACAGAAGTACTGGATCTCCATTTTTCCCTTTGCTGCAGTAGTGTGGCTTAGCAAAACTGAGGTTAACCATGGAGCTGAATCTGGGATGTACCTTCATTTTTTAGACCAGGCTGACAGCACACAGTCCAGTGGACTGGAACATTCCTCAGCACTTACCCAGCACAGATATACACAGCCTTCCCACCCAAGTAACAATGAGTTTGCTCCTGCAGTGAGTGGGCCAACCCATGCTTCCTTTCCAAGATATTTAATTTCACAACAATGTACAAAAATAACAAATTAGAAAAGACTTAAAAATGTTAGTGTTGCCAGCAAACAGATCAAAGCCAACATAAGAAAAGCAGCCACAGAGGGGTGAAGGGAAAAGAAGGAACAAAGGGGAAAAGAGCACATGTATATTTAACTGAGTCAGCAGGGGCTGAGGGCTGGAGAGGGGGAAAGAAGTGAAGGAACCCTGGGTTAGAGGAATAAAGGAGCTGAGGAAGGAGCCATGATCACATTTCATAACAAGGGTTTGAGGGATTATAGAACATCAGAAGCAGATATGCAAATATGTAGATGCAAACAGGAAAACTTGAAAGAAAAGAAGGAAGCTTTCCTGCCAAAGTATGTAAATTTTTTTTCTGTAAAATAGAGAGATTTGCAAATAAAGAAAGAGTTAGAGCACAGCTGGAGCAATGGTCACTGTGAAAGGAAAAAATCTGATTGCCTAATTAGGATTCTGGCTGCACAAGAAGCCAATGTGTCTGTATGGATCAGAATTAATTAATCCTCTACTCCCATTAAAGGCTCTGATTGCTGCTGAACATCCTAAGCATGTATCCTGCTCTGCTGGCAGCTAGGCCAGCTCTGCCCTCACCCTTCAGCCATGTGTGTGGAAATACAGCAGGAATGCAGGCAACCCAAAGGACTTAGCAGGCATCACTAGAACTGTTCTGCTTTGACTAGTTAGCTACAGACTTTTGTCTTTAACACCCAGCAGAACCCTTTCTGAAGATCAAAACCCACTGCATTTTATGTAAAGTTAAACAATGCAGAATGGGTCATATCAAGAGGCAAAAATTTTTAGATACTTTAAAATATTTTTGCATGTAAGAGTCACGCAAGGTGCTGTATTCCACTGCATCAGCAGAATTTATTCCTTTGTTTTGTTTTTTAATTGCCCAGTTTCATCACCTTTCAGTTCTTTATTTGAAACAATAAAATAAACAATACAGATTATCCTATAATTTGGCTTTTCTTCTAAAACATTGATTGAAGGGAAGGATGAAAAATATGTTTATGCATATTTTGTGTGCTAAAATTATTATATATTTTTCAAAATATTACTGCCTTTTGGCTTTGTTGTATGCCTCAAATACAGTGTTTGTAAGAAATTTAACATAACTACTGATGTTACTATCAGTGCTTTTATTTGAAAGAATCTATCAAGTAACTGTGTAGCCTGGTACCCTGAGAAAATAAGGTTTATGTAACCTTATTTATATCAGTTTAATCAGGTTCATATCAGCATCTTGATGTGTACATGTACCTCTCTGTCTCACCCTGATAAACTCTGAGCTTGTTGGCTCATTTCATCCCTTGTTAATTGACAGAGAGTCAATCGCTGCTTTCACACAGCAGGAAACAAAATAGCATAAGCTCACCTTTCCTGATGCAACAAAACCACAAAGAAAGGTTTTGAATATCCCAGCCACAGGAAAAAGCTCAATTAGAACTTCCACTGCTGGAGATACCAAAGGTTCAACCAAAATAAACTGAGCTTCGTTGCTCCCCAACTGACATGAAGTATTTTGGCAAAGAGTGGGGAGGACTTTCAGCATCCTCCTACAATTCCAGAGCATACAATTAGCAAGGGGGAGGCTTTCCTAACTGCTCAAGTCCTGTCCTAACTACACCAAGGGGAGTCTTGTTCATAGCTATGATGGAAGTGAGACTGCAGAAACCTCCACACTAAATAGAATTGGGCATTTCATGCACTGACTTGTCCTCCCCATATGATAGGCTCTAAGGGAGGAAAGAGAGAAATCCTAATGATCTGCTCTAAACCACATCCACTCACTCCACAGCCACAGGGGGCTTTCCTGACAGGAAAAAAAAGAATCCAGTAGATGCTCATATTTCCGGTCACACATCTTTCTCTCAGGTCTGTAAGAAGTGTGAGAGATATACTGTGGCAGCACTGGTCACCACACAGGTGTTCCAAGAAGGGAGGATTCTTGTCTGCTAACATCCACACAGGAACCATCTGTCTAGTGCCTGTCAACTACCCTCCCAATATGATCCTGGATACGTGTTTCACTGTCACAGAGAAGCAAGTTATCATCTTTGCAGTCTCTGTGCCTTAAAGAAAATTAGAGACAAGTCAGAGACACTTGAGGAAAACTAATATACTGTCAAGATCTGTGGTCTCACCTGGGTCAAAACACTTTGCCAAATGACATCTTGAAGAGATTTTCATTTGGTTAAACAAAACAGGAAAAATCTTCAGCAAAAAGTTGAGGCACTCAGGCATTTCAATATCCTGTTCTTGGCCATTTCAGAATGGAATAACTTTTTTCTTTATATATATATATACACACACACACATACCAACTGGGTTTTTCATCTAGTTATCTAGATGTGTAAAATTAACTTGTAGAAAGAAAGGATCATCATCTCCCCAAGAGAGTAAAGGCAGGCCAGATTGTCTGTGACTGGCTACATTTCCAGAGTCATGAGGTTCAATTATCTCTTCTACCAACAGTGATATTTATTTTCCCATGCATAAATGAAACTGGGGAGCCTGATATCACATATTTTCACCAAAGGCTTTAATCTGACTTTCCTCCTGCTCTGGTTTCACAAAGAGCTATTGTCATAGCAGATAGTTTGAGTAACATCTTTCTGTGATAGGGAAGAGAATAAGAAGGGAGAAGGAGGAAAAGCACATTGTTTGCTTTCCATGCTGTTCATAGCCCTCCTTTCTTATAGTCCTGCAGCAGTGTTCTCCTGTTGCAGAGTGGCAAACTCAACTCTGAGGGATAACGGAATTTGCAAGCCTCAGCCTGCAAGGTCTCTTCCACTGCCCCTTACACAAGCAAATTAATAAGCTTTGGGCTTAACATAAAATCTTCAAGCATCTTCCAGAAATCAAGGTACACATATTTAGAAATGCATTTTAAAAGTCATAAAAATTGTGTAAAAAAAGCCTAATCATACATACACTAGATGCATCCAGCAAATTGGAATACTTACAATATTGAAGGCGTGAGACCTGCCCACCTAAAACCACAACAGGCCTCCAAATCCACAGTTTGATCCAAAGCTCACTGGAATTTTTCCACTCGCTCTTGCAGGGTTTGGATGTATTGCTGCAGAAATCTAATCCTCAGTATAGCCAAGGCAGACTTTAGTATCATACAAGCCTCTCTCAAAGAGCCAAACAGTCAGAGCTGTTTCCAAGTGCACTCTCCAATGTGCAAGCCCTAGGTTTGTTCAACACTAGACGGGTGGAAGAAGGAACATTCATTTCTAAGGAGGGAAGTGAAGGGAATGTAGCAATTTTGAGCCTAGTCAACTGAGACTTAGGAACCTAGAGATATACAGCCAGACTCCAGGAGACTAATTCTAACAAAATTTCAGCAAATGAGTACATTATTCATGAAGACAAAAGCCTCTGGAGAAACAAACTTGGAGCTGATGTAAAGCAGCTCTTTTAATCAATAAACCTGTAGCAGAAACCATCTGCACCAGGCCTATTTAAAACCAGCCATTTAATATTTAAAGGCCAAATAACAATCTCTGTGCAGCAATTCTGCTGGGGTTTATGACCATTCCACTTTTTTCCTGCTTAAGGAATGTATTTCTGCAAACTTTCTAATTCAGTCTGACAACAGCTGCCTGTGATGAGGGGAAAGGAAGAGCTGTCAAATTAAACCCATTCCTTCTAATTTTGCAAGTGCATCTCTTCAGAATCAAAAGTGGAATCCCTGTTGGGATTTATTCATATATCCCCTGATTGCAAATGAAGAAAATTTTTAGCACATCAAGTATTTTTAAAATATAGGTGAGGAAACCCTCTCATTCAGTAATTTGCATCAATACCTCTATAACTGTGAGTTCCCCACAGTCCCAGCTGCAAACAACACATTATTTCACTGGCAGAAAGGCAGAACTGCTTGCTTGCCTGGTCCCTGACCAGATAATACTCAGTCTGGGCATCACCATTTTCTGTCATGGTACTTGATGAAAAATAA